AAAACTTGATATATAACAGAAGGGTACTTGGAACATGAATGAAAAGAAAACAAACCAGCTTTTATATTTTAACCTACTGACAACATATCACAAGTCAAAAATGATTCCTACCGAACTTAAATATACAAAGCTTTTTCTCTTTGAAAGTTGAAATAACATTTTTTTGGGTCAGTAAGAATATAAATCTATTTTTGAAAGGTTATTCTTTGGTTATATTGAAATACTAAGTTGATAGGCTTACTGTCGAATGTCTCTAAAAGATAGACAAATCATGTGTAGTGATGGATTGCCAAGAATTACATAATTATACAAATAATTTTGCATCAACAAAGCTAAAATTTAGTTTCAGGAAGCTAGTTAGGTACCTATAATTTTTGATAAGTCATTTCTATATAGACTTATAAATGCAGGATGATAAATCTAAAATTTTTATATACTTTTAGAAGACTAGTGCCACCTAGATATGAATAGACTTCATCAAAGAATAATGTCAACTCCTCCCATTGACTACTGAGATGTTAATTTCTGGGAGTAGATAGGAGAAAGAGCAATTATAAGATCATATAATTTATAGCACTATGTAGTCCAAGTTGCAGAATATGACATTTTTAAATTTTGAGAATTATTGTTTTATCACCTGACCTTCCCAGCATGACCTATGTCTTTACTTCATTTGTCTTCCATGCAACTAAAAATGAGAATTTTTACTGGCTAAGTTTGATACATTTATTACCCTATTTTCAAGGTCAAAATTGTCATATTTTACCAATTCTATTTTTGGTATTACCATTTCCCAAAACTTCTCTCCATTTCAACTGATAGTAGTGTTCAGAATTCCTTAAAATTTTAGCATTCATCACAGTTTCTGTTTATGTTGTATTAAAACAAATGTTGACTGTATTGCCAACTAGAGAAGTAATAGCCCTCACGTAAGACAGCTAAGCAATTAATTAATTTATTAGTTAATTAAAACTAACACTGATTAAGCAAAATATGAGTAGAAACCATCATATGAGTATATATTGAAGTTTGACCGATGAATATAGCAAACTTCCTATTCTTTTTAAATTTAAATTTATTTTTGATCATACTTATTTGTTCATGGTGTACCATGTGATATCATAATAGATACACATATGATTAAATCACACTAATTAACATAGCCAGTCCTTGATATACTTACTATCTCTTTTTATTTTTATTTTTTTTTTTTTTGACAGGCAGAGTGGACAGTGAGAGAGAGAGACAGAGAGAAAGGTCTTCCTTTGCCATTGGTTCACCCTCCAATGGCTGCCACGGCCGGCGCGCTGCAGCCAGCGCACCGCACTGAAGGCAGGAGCCAGGTACTTATCCTGGTCTCCCATGGGGTGCAGGGCCCAAGCACTTGGGCCATCCTCCACTGCACTCCCTGACCACAGCAGAGAGCTGGCCTGGAAGAGGGGCAACCGGGACAGAATCCAGCGCCCCGTACTTACTATCTCTTAATGAAGAGAATAATTAAAATCTATTTAAGCAAGTTTAAAATATGTAGCACCTTAAATGTAGTCAGCATGCTGTGCCATAGGTCACTAAACCGTATTACTCATACCTAATGGAGACTGTTAGCTTGGACAACATCTTCCCTGTCACCCCCCCCCCCCCCCATCTCTGGTCACCACCATTTCAATGTCTACTTCTGTGACATCAATTTTTCAGATTCCATATACAAGTGAGGACATAATATCCTTATTTCACGTGACATAATACCCTCCAGGTTTATCCACATTGTAAGAGGTGACAGAATTTCCTTGATTTTTGTGTGTCTGTGTATTACTCCATTGTGAGTATATTCTACATTTGTAAATCCATTCATCATCTAATAGATATTTTCACTGCTTACACATCTTGTCTATTGCAAATAATGCTGCACTGCACACGAGAGTGCGGGCATCAGAGAAATGCAATTAAAACTACAGGATCACCTCACACCTAGTGGATTGCTCATTACCAAATGATAACAAGTGAATGTGAGTATGTGGAGGGAAGAGAACTCTTGTATAATGATGATGGAAATCTTAATTCATACAATTACTCTTTTGTCTTTTTGTTTTTAATTTTATTTAAGTTACACAAGTTTCATGTATTTTGTATATTACAGATTTAGGGAGATAGTGATACTTCCCACCCTACCCTTCCTCCTGCCCACACTCCAACCCTTCTTCCTCCTCTCTCCTATTCCCACTCCTAATTTTTACAAAGATCTATTTTCAGTTTACTTAATGAGCATAAGGTTTACCCTACACCAAGTAAAGAGTTCAATCTCAAAATGTCCAATTCAGTCCAATATGTTACATTTAGGTACTCTACTATTTACTCCAGATCAGGCAAAACATATGTTCTGTCTTTCTGGGACTGGCTTATCTCACTAAGTATAATGGGTTCCAGTTGCTCTTATTTTAAGGTAACACATTTGCGATTTTGATGGGCTAGGGTAGACATTAATATATATTATCTTTATTATATTATATATTATATATTATATTTACTATCTTCTTTCGGTAGACTGAATGTTTGTGTCCCTCCCATATTATATGTTGGCATCCGAACTCCTGATGTGGTAGAAGTCTGGTGCTGGGTGGTGATTATGTCATATAAGTAGAGACATCATGAATGGCTTTAGTACTCTTAAAAAAAGAAATACTGGAGAGCTCTCTCTTTCCTTCTACCAGGGGAAGACTCAGTGAGAAGCAGGCCCTCACTAGACACATTCAAAGTACTGGCGCTTTGATCCAGGTATTCCTAGCCATCTACAGCTGTGAAAGAAGAAATTGTGCTGTTTATAAGTCACCATTGTATGGTAATTTGTTATAACAGCTGGAAAAAACTGCAGCTCCTCCTCGTTCACTGTATTTCATAATTTGAGAAATACTTATTAAATGTCTTGTGTTCTGCTTCCTGGGTATCTAACAATAAGTCAGATGGTATCCTTGCTCTCCTAGCATTACAGCTGTAACAGGGATATGTTAACAGGTATGAGGTTCAGACAAATTCATTTATTAATACCAAATTATAAAAGCTACATCTCAGTGCTATGCAGAACAGCATTCAAGATCCAAATGGCGCTAAGATTCTGCTCAGTAGCACGTGTTTCCGGATTTGTAAACTTGTTGCATATATGCCAATTCCTGAATTGTTCTTTCCTTACCCAAGTGGAAGCTGCCTGCAGGGCTTGAGTGCTCTTGAGAAATCTCTTCTACTGTTGGATCAATTGCATGAGTGCAGAGTGTCGTATTTATATATTACTATGTTCAACTGAGTACGTCCTTAATAAGCCTGATTTCCCACATATTAATAAAGAATTAATGGCGTGTAGGTAGAATAACGTGAAAGAAACACTGCTTAGAATTACACAACTGTATCATTGGTAGAAACATCTAAATTCACACGCACACACACACACAAAAACTTCCTTGTTTGTGTGTTCATTATAGGCATTTGACAGGAAAGAACAATCTAGACATAATTCTGCAATAAGATGGGCTTTAAGGGTCAGAACACAGGCTGGTGAGAAACAGAAGTTCTATCTCATGTAGTGTAGAATCTGTTTCGTGTCTGGAATCATGTGTGCAGTCCCTTGAAATTATTTTCCTTGAAACAAAGACAAACATGAACAGAAAGAACTTTAGAGAAGACAGCGAAGTAGATTAAAACATTAAATATGAATAAGTTGTAAAGGAAAATCTGAGAGGTCGGGTTACTGCCTATCAACTCTTTTAAGTATATAAATAAATCTAGCAGAGACCAGAACCATGGTTCAAAGACATCTGAATAGAAGAAAAAAGATGTGTTTTCCTTCAGTTAAAAAAGCCACAGATAAAAAATACTTCCTATTCAAAACATTAAATGTTCTCCATGTATGTGTGTGTGTGTATATATATATATATATATATACACATTTTTTCTACTGATAGTTCCCCAAACCATTGAATTAGACCTTTTCAAATTACTAATAGGCAAACTGCATTGTGGGGAGATAAATGTCTTGTAATAGTAAACAGCAAAGCTGGCTAGAACCCAAATCAGGTCTCCTGTTTGACAGACCTGCCTTGTGCCTGCATAACTGGGATCTCTAATTATTCAAAACAGCGTTACGCTCCCCTGCATTTAATACACTTTGAAATAATTACTTAAATTATTATTTTTTCTTTTAAATAAATGTTATTATTGATTTTGGTAAAGCAAAATATAGAAAACAAAGATCACGTTTTTACTGGTTTACAGAAAATACTGGGGGGGGGCAGTCTCTGTACTCATGAGCTTATGTGTAAAGCATTTAGAATGTTTTTGTATTCACAAAGTGACTATGGGATTAAAACATTTGGGAAATCACTGCTCTAAATAGTCAACTGGGGGCTGGCGCTTGGTATAGCGAGTAAAACTGCTGCCTGCATTGCCTGCATCCCATATGGATGCAGGTTCGAGTCCCGGCTGCTCCGCTTCCAATCTCTGCTATGGCCTGAGAAAGCAGTGGAAGATGGCTCACGTGCTTGGGCCCCTGCACCTGCATGGGAGGCCCAGAGGAAGTGCCTGGCTCCTGGCTTTGGATCAGCACAGCTCTGGCCATTGCGGCCTTGTGGGGAGTGAACCATTGGATGGAGGACCTCTCTCTCTCTCTCTCTCTCTCTCACTCTGCCTCGGCTGCTCTGTAACTTTGCCTTGCAAATGAATAAATAAATCTTAAAAACAAAGTCAATCAAAAGATTTTTTTTTTTAAGATTTAAAAGCAAGATTTATTAAAGTCAAAATCCTCCAGCCAGAGCAGCCTGGAGGGGGCCTCCAAGAGAGGAAAAAACCAGAAGAGTTTATGAAGATCTGGAAATTTGCTCAGAAACAAAACTCAGCCTGGGTTTCGAAAGTCCAGAAAATCATGGAATGAGGAGTGTCAAGAGGTGAACTGAAAAGTTCAAGCAAAGGAACACAGTGAATATAATATATTGATTTACTTATTTTCTCTTCCTCAGCTAAATAATGTGGCAGAAAAGCAAAATCAATTTACACCAACCCACAGAGATGAGGACTATGGAAGAGAATATGACAGCAACCGATTTCAAAGGTGGAGGAGAAGGACAAGCATTAATTACTTGTCAGAAGACATGTGAAATCTACTCAGGGATGCAGGGGAGTCCTGAGCAAGCACATTAGCAAATCACTGTCCCTTCTAAAGACCTGAGAAGTGGACGGAGGTGCTGGTTCCAAAGGTGAGGTGCCGAAGGGGCCACTGTGTGCACCTATGTGGACAGATCAGGGGTGGGGGTTTACAAAACGGAATCTATTTCTATCTCTACTTTGTTCAGAGATGTGACTACTTCTCCTCAGTGCAGGATAACAGAGATTTCCTTTCCACACACTTGTAACCAGAGAAATTCTGTAATCACGAACCCCAAACACAACTGAGGAAAAGGATTACATAATTAAAACAAGGAACTAAGGAGATATAAAACACTGGACCCTTGTCAGATTGGACTGCTTGTCTCATGGCTCCAGGCCTCTAGGCAAGAGATTGGAGGGTATGATTCCTCTGTAATATAATGACCAGGATGGAGACGACGCATGCGGGAAACGATAGCTGATGATTTCTAATGTGCTGTAATCTCAGTCTCCCAGCTAAAACATCGACTTTCTAAAAAATTCTGCATGTTTGACATGACAGTTATAAGGTAAATAAATAAAATGAAAAAGTAATTCAAAAGGAATCAGAGGAACAGGAATAATAAACGAATGTAAAATATATTTTAAAATTACTTTCCTCAGGTAACAGAAGATATTTTATCCATTAAGGAGGGGATTCTATGTAAAAATAGGTATATAGTAAAAAGAGATCTTGCAAATTAAAATAATAAAGAAACAGAAGTTCACATAACCACTTTGGAAGGTTGGGTGATACCTGCTGCACCCACCCATGAGTGAAACAGAGATCCTCTACAGTGCTTTGAAGGCAGATGCTGGGTACCACGAGGCCAGCCTCCCAGCCTTCCTCCTTAAGCTTACTATCCTTGCCCTGACTTTTTGATAGCAAATTTACCACTCATTAAAATTAACTCACTGAATTCAGGGAGTGGCATAGCTACGTTTCTAATCACCATACTCATGTGGCCATTTGCTCTTCCAATGGATAACACCTGACTGGTTGGTATTCCCTGGAGAGATTTCTCTTCAGGGAATTCCAGGTCTGGGGCAGAAAGTTACTACCACATGTGTGTAGCCCCCAGGCTGACTGAAGCACGATAGACACCATAACATTCTCTAAAGTACACCCCGACAAAGGAAGGCCAGGAGAGCCACTGGCAAAATCAAGAACCTGGATATGTGCTGAAAACACGCTTCACATCCCAACTTCAATCCATAAGATAATGAGGAGAGAGCAGGGAAGTGGGGGTGGGGGAAGAGAGGGAGAGGGAGAGAGAGAGGGAGCGGGGTCTTCCATCCACTGGCTTATACCTCAAATGGCTGCTGGATTCAGGGCCAGGCTCAATCTAGGAGCCAGAAATTCCATCTGCCTGTCCCTCATGGGTGGCAGGGAGCTACTACTTGAGCCATCTTCCACTGCCTTCACAAGTGCATTGGAAAGAAGCTAGATGGAGGTAGAGCAGCCGGTGCTCAAACCAGACTCTGGTGTGGGATGCTGGATTCACTAGTGGGCATTTAACGTGCTGCACCTCAATACTAGCTCAGTTGTGCTATACGTTAATATGATGGAATCTTTTAAATCAACAAAGTGATTGTATTATAATTATAAATTTCAATGTGGTATTGAGATTAAAAGGTCTCAGAAAGCTGCATATTATAGAATCCTGTTTCTAAACATTTTTTGTGTAAAACTGTATGAGATAATATTTTTTAAAAAAGATTTGTTTATTTGAAACTTGAAGTTACAGAAAGAGGAAGAGAGAGAGAGATATCTTCCATCTGCTAGTTCATTCTCCAGATGACGGCAACAGCCAGGGCTGAGCCAGGCCAAAGCCAGGAGCCAGGAGACTCACCCAGGTCTCCCACATGGTAGCAGGGGCCCAAACCCCTGGGCCCTCCTCCCCTGCTTTTCCAGGCCATTAGCAGGGAGCTGGATTGGATATGGAGCAGCCAGGTCAGGAATCAACACCCATATGGGATGCCAGCACCATAAGGGGCAGCAGCTTTATCTGCTAGGACACAATGCTGGCCCTGAGGCAAAATTTTTGAAAAGCATGGTGGCTAACCCACAAAAGTACAAGTCAAGAGAAAAATTAGAAAGGGCAAAGGAGAGAAACTTACTGGAGTGACACATGTAATATTGCATTATTATGTAGGACTAAGGGTTCATGGGGTTTTATTATTTGTAGGTAGGTACATGTTTATATATTAAATGTATTATTTGTACAAGATTAACCTAAAACAATTCCAAATAATATATTACAAGTGAGAAAGATTAAAGAGTTTGAAAGTCAGTTAAACTGATATATAAAAATCTAAGTAAAAAGAGAAAGATTCAGAATATTATAGTTTATTTGAATTCTGATAAAAGATGGGAATAAGAGGTTTAAAAATATGACTGTCCCTGAAAAACTCCTCAAATAAGGATTCACAAAGAGGAAGTAACAGTGGATGGTTCCAGTATGAAGACTGATCTTTTGGAGGATAGCGTGCAGGCTGGGGGATCGTACTTTCTACTCTGTTATCCATTTTAAATAAAGAAGAAAAGTCAGAGAAGAATAATCAAGAGAGATATCCTCTGAGATCCAGCGTCAGAAAAGAGAAAGGGATTAATTATTGTGAAGCGCAAGAAAGGACAAAAGTAAATGTAGTACGACATTGAACTTCAAGAAGAAAAGGGAAAGATAGGGAAACATTTTTTCCTTGTATTTGTGGTAGCAATAACAAAATGCCAAAAATATTTTATTGAGGTAAAAAGGAAAAAAAATGGACTCTTCTTGGTATATGAAGCAGAATGTTATCACCTTTTCTATTGATTTGTGGGTGCAATAACATTCTGTCACAGCTTGTTATAATGAACTATGTTATACTGAAACTTTAGTTTTATCTTCAATAACCAAATACTTCTCAGTAACAGCTATTTTCATTTGAAAAAAAAAATAGCAGAATTCAGTTATGTGTATAGTTCCTCAGAAATCCTGAGATCTGTAAGTGTGCTTTTATGTTTATTCCTCTTTTAAAAATATTTTAAAGATTTATTTTATTTATTTGAAAGACAGAGTTACAGAGATAGGTAGAGACAGAGAAAGCAAGGTCTTCCATCTGCTGGTTCACTCCCCAAAAGGCCTCAATGGCTAGAGCTGAGCTGATCCAAAGCCAAGAGCCAGGAGCTTCTTCTGGGTCTCCCATGTGGGTGCAGGGGCCCAAGGACTTGGGCTGTCTTCCACTGCTTTCCCAGGCACATTAGTAGGGAGATGGATTGGAAGTATAGCAGCCAGGATTTGAACCCGCGCCCATATGGGATGTCAGTGCTACAGGCCAGGGCTTTAACCTGCTGCACCACAGTTCCAGGCAGTTCACACCTCTTGTATTAATCAGTTTCCCAGAATATCTCATAGACTACTAATGTCTCTGAATTTTATTGGTGTGTTTCTTTTTTCTGCTAAATGTGATCATTTTTGTCTGCATTATTGAAAAGTGGCAAACCTTTATCAAATGTGCAGTAAGCAATGCTATTTATGTTTTATTTCCATTCCATTATATGAAATATATTCTGTCAAGGTGAATTAAAGTTGTTCACACAACACTTCCTCTTGATCATATCTGTGAATGGTTAAATTTGCTTGTGTAACTGTGTGAATTTAACATCATCCTTATTTAATCTTTATTGTCAAACCCTCAACAAACATGTAACCAGCTGAAGAGACTTGGTAGTCACAATGAGGGGCCCATGTGTATGCTTCTCAGAATAGTCCTCATTAACTTTGGAGATCACATTAAGCACAGTAGCCACACATTTCCGCAACTGGCAGCATTTAAATACAATAGACTCAGTGTGACATGGTGGTGTAGAGCATAGGTTCTAGGGCCTGGATATCTGGTTTTGAATTTCAGTCTTATGGTCGGTTGACCATGTAGCCTCGTTCAATTTTTCCAACCTTGTTTTACTTTATTTTCCTCATAGGCAGAATGGAAGTAAGATTGTTAATGTCATAACGTACATAAAGCACTTGGAACAGGATCTGACATATGGTGAGTGCCACATCATCTTCATTACCCTAGAGACAGAGCTCCACTTCTTCATGATGCACTAGTGATGATAAGGGGTTGGCTTCAGTAAACAGCTACTTTTTCTCTTCCTTCTCCCCATCCTCCTCCTCCTCCCTTCTTCTTGAGAGGGAGACAGACAGATCTTCTACCCACTACTTCACTCCCCAAATGGCTGCAAAGGCCAGAGCTGGGCATATCTGAAGCCAGGAGCCAGGAGCTTCCTTTGTGTCTCCCATGTGGGTGCAAGGGCCCAAGTACTTGAGCTGTCTTCACCTGCTTTCCCAGGCCATTAGCAGTGGAGCTGGATTAGAAGTGGAGCAACCAGAACTAGCACCAGCACCCATATGGGATGCCGGCATCACAGGCGAAACTTTACCCACCATGCTACAGTGCCAGTCCTTAAAGAGGACTTAAAGGGGACTTCATCCTTAAAGAGGACTTCATCCTTAAAGTCATCAAGTCAATCCTTTACCTTGAAGACATGAGCAGAAAACAGGGCCACCATGGGAAAGGGCAGATACACAAGAGATGAAGGATTTCTTCAACTGAATACAGAGGCAGTGAATAATAAGACAAGTTAAAAATCTAGGAGACTATCCTGAATAGGTTCAGAATGAAGAGCCAGTTACCATTGTCCATTTTAATGTCTCTGTCCAAATCCCCCAACTCCTTTTTCAGATTAGGACATCGAGGAAAAATTACATCAATGTAGCTTCATTGATGGTACATGTTTAGCGTCCTTCCTATGCACTACACTTTCTTATGAAAAGATTTTGCTTCTCCACCACTCTGATACTTTTTTTTTTAATGCCACCTGATTCTCTTTGTTTCTTTCCATGAGACCTATATTGTTCCAGAAGCAGCTTCCTAGCCCTTGCCCCCAAATGGCAGGAACAATGAAGTCAACTTGCAATGGTTAGGTAGCACGAATGATGAAAACATGCATGTTATGAGGAAGTCCCAGAAACTTGTGTGCCAGTTGTTACAGCATCGTTAATAACGGCTGAACTGAATCAGCACTCATGGTTTATGATCAGTGATAATCAAAAATAAGACAGCAAATATGACTTGCTTTAGGAATAGAATTGTAAATTAAAGCACAATTCAAGAACCTCACTGTTATCTTTCTAACTAGCTGATTCTTATCTTGATTTACACTGCTAAGGTACGGATTTGTATATTCGCATATAAGTAAGAGGGTAGTATACACTTCTGATTGCATACTCAGAGAAAATTCATAGTTCCTCTCTAATGTTTGCTCTTTAATTTACATCTAATTTGAAATGTTGGTTTTCTGCTAGCATATTTTTTCATCTTTTTGAAATCTCACAAAATTTCAAATGAACCTTTATTATTAGAAGTTGTCTTTTATGTGTGAAATCAAATATAATTTGTATTTTCAGATTTGCCTTCTTTAAATTATTTTACATATAAATTCCTAGATAAAATGTGTATTATAATATGCTACTGAGATATATAGTTCTTAGCATACTGAATAGATACTAAATAAAATGATAAGTAATATCTTGTAAAATGCATTTACATGAATCGTATTTCATTCTGTCCTATGATAACAGTGTTGTTTTCTAGGGTGTTTTATCTCCACACATTAATTTAATGCTTTATTTCTTTGAAAATTACATTCATATATCTTGATAATGCCATATATTTGGGTACTATGCAGAAGAAAGAACAGGCTACTGATAATGATAGACCTGCCTCATTTACCTTTTGGGAATGTAAAATATAACTTCTATAATAGCCAACTATATATCTTCAGTGGTTGAATAAGCATGAGTCTTCCTTAAGAATCCATGGAATGTGGAGATGGGAGAAAGGGCTTATGGCGAGGGCTCCCCCAGGGCTCAAAAGCAATTGTCTGTATGATAGAAAAATATGTGACTCTGATGTAGCATAAGGAGAAGCCTGGCCACGAACAGCATTACCAAAGGGAAGTGTGATTGTCAGTGGTGACCTCATTATATAAGATCTTTATGTCCACTAAACTAATGTTACTCATGCCTCCAGTGAATTTCACTGAAGACATTGCTGTCATTACTCTGTAGTTACCAGTGGGACATCAGTCACTCATTGGATACGAATCTGTAAATAAAAGTGCAAATGTCCATTATGACCCCTTTCTTATTTGCGTCAGATTCTCTTTAAAATGGGTCATGTGTTTTATGAGGACATGTCAGAATCACAAACAGCTGTTATCTCAGTACTGGAAGACCATCAGTAATATTCCCTTCATCTTATCCTTTATCCAAAATTAATGCAATGTTTAACAGCAACATTTATTTACTCAACTGCCTTTGCTCACTTTTAAAATCTTAAGTGCCTCTTGAGCTTTTCCTCCCACTGATTTTCAGTTCAACTGACATTTTAACTGATAATCAAACCCTAAGTCATCTTCCCTTTGATGGTATTTATGTAATGGAAATCAACACAGAGCAACTTAAAAACAGCTTAAGAAAAGTAATGGTGCTTAATAATAATTTATGTGCCAAATCCAACCTCACTTAGATGATAAGGATATCTAGGGAGCTCTTTCATTACAATTAAACAAAAAAAGCTATACCTCTTTTGACCTTTGAGAAAATGTGAAGAGGAAACTAGAGAAGAAGCCTCGGTCTTCACACCAAAATTCACTCCTAGATGAGACTTTCAGTGACAAGTTCCCCCAAAGGGCCTCTTTTATATAAACTTGACCATTTGTTTGAAAAGCTTCACCGCTGCTACTTAAATCCAGGGCTTCCTTCTGTCACCCACTCCCAGTTTCAGCAATTTCCCATCAGTTCTTTCCTGGCATTATCGTTGCACAACTATTAGAAAAGAGGGCCACAATTCTATTCTCTTTGCCTCCTACTACTTTCTTCCAGATGCCTTCAGGGATCATCAGCTCTCCCCTACTGTAGCCTGGGAGATTTTTTACACCTGTTTAGTATGCTCTTTGTAGTCTTTCAACTGCTAAAATATGCATTGCCTGGACAAAGAAAAATACCCAGAATAAGTGCCACCTCTTCTCTTCCCTCCATTCCAACAGACCACTCTTTCATTGTTGAACTTGGCCCCAGGCTTGGAATTGTTCTCCATACAGTGAATATCATAAGCATCTATTATTAGCTGATAGGCAAACTCTCCTAAGAACTTGGAGTCCTGCTTCATACCTTTTTTTTTTTTTTTTTGATGGGCGGAGTGGACAGTGAGAAAAAGACAAAGAGAAAGGTCTTCCTATTTCTGTTGGTTCACCCTCCAATGGCCGCTGCCGCCAGTGCAATGCGGCGGGTGCACCGCACTGATCCAAAGGCAGGAGCCAGGTGCTTCTCCTGGCCTCCCATGCGGGTGCAGGGCCCAAGGACTTGAGCCATCCTCCACTGCACTCCCTGGCCACAGCAGAGAGCTGGCCTGGAAGAGGGGCAACCGGGACAGAATCCGGCGCCCTGACCGGGCCTAGAACCTGGTGTACCAGCGCTGCAGGCGGAGGATTAGCCTAGTGAGCCGCGGTGCTTCATACCTTCTTAACTGATGTCAGCTCACAATCTGAAGACTTCTCTATCTCCTCTCATAACCCCTGGAGAATTAAAAATTTATGTGATGACACATATCACTCTTACATAAAGTCTTTATTTTTTAAACTCTATTTAGTTGAATGGATTTTCATTTAACTCGATTTTCACTCTCACTGGAATAGCTACAATTTGTTTCTAATCATCAACAGGAATTGGTGTCTTTAAGACCCAAATCTTGGAAATATCACTCTGTTCATCCCCTCTAACCTTTGCTTTTATGAGTCATTTCCTTCTGGAAACTGCACCTTTACTTTCAGTAGGCTGCTCACTGCCTCCTGTTTCACTTTTCCACATGGTGTAGACACCTTCTTCACCATCCATACCATTTCCCCAATCCAGCTTGAATCCTAATGAAAACCTCAGTTCTCTCTCACTGACACTGCCCTCTCCAGCCTCCAATATGCAACCACGAGTAAACCATGATGGCGGTTCCAGTCCCAGGATGCCCAACCTTCAAAGACAGATTGCCTAACTCCAGTGGTTGTATGTGCTACAAATTTCAGTTATCCAGCAGCTGTAATTTGTAAAGATGGCCTCTAGTCCTTTCAGTTGCTTTACTGTCAAGTTTTCATCAAATGTTCTTCCTATAACTCTTTCTTCTAAAGTACTTTCTTCCTATGTCAGTCTCTAGGCCTTGTGCATGTGAGTCTTCAATTTCTGAGGACTTCTTGCTTGAAGGAGACCTGGGAGATCAGGAGCACCAGAGCAGGCAATAGTCTAAGTGAAGAGTGTCCAAGAAACAGGAGTGGCAAGGTTAAAGGCCTTGATTCAAGAAGTAGTTGTCTGTGATGAAGAACTAGACAAGTGACTGGAACATAGAGAGGGAAGGTAAGAGGTAGATGAGATCAGAGAGGTGGGTAGAGATCATAAAGTGCCCTCTAGACCATGGGAAGGATTTTGGATTTTATTCTCTCTTTATTCTAAAGATGACAGCTTTTCTTAGCCTTAGCATTATAGAAAACCTGCACCAAGTAGTCCTTTGTTATGGGCTCTCCTGTGCACTGTGGGATGTTTAGCAGAATATTCTGCCCCATCCACCAGGCACTGATAGCACCACCTCTGCTGCTCTGTAGCAACCTAAAACCTCTCCAAGCATTTCTACCTTTACCCTCCCAGCAAAATCACTTCCCAGAGAAGCCCCTGGAGTGTTTCAAGCAGAGGGCTATCTTGATTTGTTGTGTGTTTACAAACTGTCAATCCACCTACTTTTGGGAGGAACGAACTGCTAGAGGGTAAGATTAGAAGTAGAGCTAGTTGGTAGGCTGTGTCTGTTATGCAGCTGTGAAAAGATAGTGAATTGGATTGTGGTGCTTGTTGTGAAAGTTCAACTCACATTAAGTTTGCAGGTATTGCAGAATTTGATCATATGATTTACCCAGTGGTTTGTAAAGCAACTGGTTATTAATTAAGGACATTGGTAAGAAGTTGCACAGAGGACAATGGAACTCAGAGGAGAGTTCATGACTGAATTTATTAAAAGTGACATTTGGAGTCATCACAATTTGTATATTTATTGTTAAACTTACAGACAGTTAATGAATAACGACCTCTTTGTTCTTTCCCAAGTTGTGAATGATTAAAATACAGGCATACGAACCTTTTCTCAAACCACATACGAGATAGACCAAAGATCTAAATGT